AGGAAAAGAAAATGAGAAATCATTCCTATACAGCCCTTGTTCTCCAACTGCTTGTCAGAGCCCAGCCCCTATTCAGCACCTGTACTTTATAACCCCCACAAACACACCTATTTGCAGAGCTAGCACCTGTTCTGATTCCTACCCAATCCTGGACCCCTGTAATTTGTAATTACTGGATTCTGAGTATAGCTGTTTGAAATCTCTAAGGGGGGGTCTATAATCAATGCCCTGTGATGCTGGAAGCATGGGCCAGGACATCATAGCAGTCATGACACAGGCTGGATTCTTGGGACTCATTCAATTAGTCATTCACTTATTCATCCATTTAATAATGCATTCATCCAATACATGTACACCACTAAGCTCTCTGTGTTAGCACAAGCCTGGTGCATGTCACTCAACAGACATGATACACAGAGATCTTTCCTTGTGGGTAATTAAACAAGTGGGTGTGTATGTGTGCAATCAAGCACATGTGTGTATCTGTGTCAGGGTGAATGAAGGTGGAGGGGGGGTGTGAAATTGCCATTTTAGTTCATTTCTGGTCCTTAAGGTATTGCAAAGGAAAAATAACATATGAAACACTGCTTGATCCACGGGCCAAATAAATATTAGCTGGGAAAACTGACACTGAAGCTGAGACCTGAAAGATACTTAGAAGTCCAATTCTTCAGTAAGGAGGGGAGGTACATTCCAGACAAAAACAGAAAGCCTGGGACCAGAAAGACCCACTGCATCAGAGAAGGGCAGTTAGATCTTGTTGGCCAAAGGTATGGTCCTTGAGAGGTGGTCACCATAGATTCTTGCAGGCAGCCAATGGGTTTGGACTCCCTCCTATAAACAATGATGCCCATCCATGTTTCAAGAAGAGGTGTGATTCCATTAGTTCTTCAATGTAAATATATCCTTCAGAGTGTAAGTGTCATGGTCTATAGCCCTTCACCTCTTCTAAGCACCCAGCCATGCTATTTTGTGATTGTTGGCTTTGTGTCCTTTATTTGCCTTAAAATAATGTATCCACTCATTCCACAAATGATTACTGCCTTCCTACTGTGTGTCTGCCCACCTCCTCCATCTAGGCTGTTTATATTAGTGAATTAAGCTGTCAAAATATGCTTTCTTAGAAGTTATACCTACATGCTGCCTATTAACTTGGTTTTCTGATGATGATGACTTGATCTTTCAATTCAGCAGACACCTATTATGTTTATGTAGTCTTCTTTCATCTGGCCATTTCTAGGGTTTCTAGATGGTTAGCAGGGCCTCCACTTATTGCTACCAGTTTCCCTTCCAAATTCCTTAAAGGGAAAGAATTAGCCAGATGCCAGTGACTTGCCCCTGTAATCCAAATTACCCAGGAGGCCTGAGATCTGATGGTAACAGTTCCATGCCAGCCTGGCCAGACAACTTCAAGAGACCTTTGTTCCAATTAACCACCAAAAACCCAGAAGTGGAAACATGAATCAAGTGATAAAACATCAGCTTTGAGTAAAAAAGCCAAGTGATAACAGGACACCCTGAGTTCAAACTCCAATAATAGCACACACACACACACACACACACACACACACATATACACACATAAGCACACACACTCTTACACATACACACAAATACAAGCATGCACAGACATACACACAAGTACACAAGCACACACACATACACACATATACACACACGCACACACATACACATATACACAAATTACATTTACCATTTAATACTTTGTGAGTCCATAGGCTCTCACACATATTAGAAGCTCATGAAATACTACTAAATATATGAGTTCTCCCAATCAAGAGACCAGATAAGGCAGTAAGACTTTACTGTAGCCATTTTTTCCTCTGCTGAACACAGGGTCAAGGTTAACAGCGAGTTCACAGAATTTAAATGGTCTACATCATCAGCTAAGTTGTTTGACAGCATGGCTAAGAATTGTTGTCTCCAAGTGAAAATGAACTCTATTCTATAAGTTTCTAGGGACTATGCATATGTATGTATGTGCAGAAGTCCGGCATCAGTCCTTTCCACTGTCATTCCACAAAGGAAAACCCAAGCTGATATTCTTCCTGCTGTTTGAACAGCCCTCACAAACATTGCAATGTTTCACACAGGAGAAACTGATTTCACAGACATTAAAAAGAAGTCTCCTAAATTGTCTATGTTTGTTTTGATGAATGTTTCCAAGATGTTTTAATTTCATGAAAAGACAAATCACTCTCTCTCTCTGCAAAAGATTTCCCACATATTTATGCTCCATTCTATCCTGATAATCAAGACAGAAGAAGTTTAGAAGCCTTACCAAGCTATCCTAAGTCCTAGATGAGAGGAAAGGAAAACTGAATGCTATCTCATCTCTTCAGTAAATGGTTTGGCCTCAGGGTCAATCTCCTTCGCAGCCACGTGACTAGCTAGACTCCATATGAAGCTGAGAGAAAAAATTACTGCCATTTAAGATGAAATGAAGACAGAATTTAAACTGTAGCCTTCAACTTGCTGGGGAAAACCGGAACATGGAGAGATCAGTGTTGTTCAAAGCAATAGGGACATGCAATGATCAAATAGGTAGTATATAAGACAATACGGGGCCAATTACGAGATCAGGGAAAACAAAATCGAAGGAGGACTGGTAAATCTCTGTAGTTCAGAAACGTGGAATGGGTGACTGTGGCCATTTCTCAAGATTCTAGGGTCATGTCAGATGGAGATGGAGTTGAATAGGATAATTGAACGGGATAATGAATGGCTTGAATTTTTCAAAGAGGGTTTTTTTAACCAACTTCTTGAATATATGTATTTTTTTTTACCATATAGAATGTAGGATGTGATACTTAAACTCTCTCATGGACAAAGCAGAAAAAGTCCTAGAAAGGTTGAAGAAGCTTTACCTCTTATGTGTACAAAGTAAGTGAAGAGTAGGAAATAATTTGAGAAAGTCAGGAAACAGTGATAGAGAGACAGGGCAGGGGTCAAGAACAAGATACAGGCCCTCAGTGACCTACTTCCTCCAAATAGGTCCTACCTCCTAAAGTTTCCAGAACCTTCCAAAATAGCTCCTCAAGATGAGGATCAAGTAGCCTTTAGGGTATGCAATTCCTATCCAATACACAACATTATATAATTCCTGCAGGCATGGGACCTTCCTTTGCAGTGTTTCAGCTAAATTTCCTGAGGGAAAGCTGTTCAGCATGTTCACATTTTAGTAGGAAGCAGGAGATTCAGTTTCACACACAACGCAATGGAAGTCCAACGAGGAGGCCACCAGAGAGACATTTCCCAGCCACAGGATTGCAAACGTCCCTACCTCCGGTCTGGATGACTGAGCCCTGAAGTCAGGCTTTAGTCCATTTCTTTCATTTGATTTTCCTCATTTCCTACACCTCTCCATTGTGTCCCTCCCATCTGGGGTCCTTCTCAGAAACCACAGAGGAGTGGTCAGTCAATCTCCTGGATGTGAGAATGAATGGGAGGATTGGAGTGGCAAAGTAGTGCAATCTGAATCTAGACTAAAACTTTGGAACGTCAGGGCTGTAGTTCAATATTTTTAAGGTAGACTATAGAAACTAGTAATTTGCATCTAAGTTCAATCTCTCCTCAAAATCCATCAGTATCAGATCTAGACTGATTCTAAGTATAAAGAAGAAATCTTTTTTGAAAAAAGAAATACAGAAAGCATGCAAGTTTGAAGAGCAATACCCAATACAGTAAGAAGACCACCCATCTCTCAAACAAGCATAAACACAAGCTCTGAACTCTTCTGTCTGTTGTAGTTTGAATGTGAAATGTTCCCCCAAAGGATTATGTGTTATAGGCTTGATCCTCAGTTTTGTGCTAATGGACATGGTAGACTCATAAAGGGGTGGAGTCTATTGGAAGGAAATTACATGACTGGGGGCATTAAGTCAGAAGTTATTGAGGTACCCGCCCCTTCCTGTTACTCTTTGCTCCTTGACTGGTCATGGTGATGACAACTTCCTCTGCCCCAGATCTAGCTATGATACACAGACTAACCACAGGCCCCCAAAGTGAGAGAGCCAATCTGCCATGGACTACATCAGCTAAAAATGTCAATCAAAACAACTCTTTTCTCTATTTGAGCCAATTATTCCGTAGTGATGAAAAATGTAGGTGTGACAATTCCACAAGTGAACAAGTGGTCTTTGATTTTATTAGCTAGCCTTTCAGCATTCTATCCAGTGTTGAGTTAAGGTGCAAAGTATTTCAATCAACTGGGACAGAGGAAACAGTGGCAGAGATGGTTTGGTGAAGTGGTGTCATAACCAACCCACCACATACTAACACATAGGTAAGTATAACAAGAAGCCATCAAATTCTAAGGAATTATAATTTGATATCTTCTTAGAAAGCAGAAGCATATTATTATTATTACTATAAATAATACTATCAACAATAGTAGTTACAAATAGTACTTATAAGTACTTCAGAGTTTATTATAGCTTTCAAATATATATCCCAATCATCTATCCTATTGAAAGAAGTACAGAAATTTTCACAGCAAATTAATGTGAAGCAGAACAGCAACAATTGCATGGTGTGTGTGCATGTGTGTGTGTATGTGGTGTATATGTGTGCACATGGCATATGCCTGACAATATATGAGAAACAGACTCTGGAAATTTCCCTTAAAGCAAACACTAATTTCAGTATACTGGCTCTTCTAATCCCTGTGTTCCTGAAAAATGCCTCTCATTGTTTTGGCAAGGGAGCAAATGCATCTAATAATTTTCTGTCTGATTGAATTTGGGATAAACAGGAATGTAATCTACTATTTAAAAACCCATCAAGACCTTCGTGTCCAATGAGCTTTTCAAATTGGTTGAATGTGAACATAAGTATTCCTATTTTCTTGACTAGGAAACTTTGGCCAAGACATGAAGATATTTTGCTGTAGCCTTCCCCAGGGAAAGTCTCAGAAGGCCTCAGAAGAAGTAGAATTGAGATCTCTGGTCCCTTTTTATGACAGTAATAGATGTACTCACGTCATGATGTGGGTCTCTACACCCGCTTCTACCAGAGCGCCATCTACGAAGAGAGGATGTACAGTGAAGCCATACTTCTCCCAGGAGTGGCCCTCATCAAAACTCACCCTGGGGTAGGGAAAACACAGGGAAGAGACAGCTGAAAATAAAGCCACAGTTTCGGGCGACCACTTTTCAGGTTGTTAAATTCTCCTCTGTATCTCACTCTGACAGTTTGAATTATCAACAGGTATTAATTTTCCACCTCTCCCTATATTATTATGAGATTTTGATCAAAACTGCATTTCCCAGCCCAGGCAGAGATAACACAGGAACCAAAGAAATATTTCAACATATTAGAATTTTTTTAAGATTTTTTTTTTAACCCAGCAGTAGGGCTTAGTGGCTGGAATGTCACATTTCAAGTCCCAGAAAGAAACCTGAGGTTCCACTTACAGCACAATCAATTCAGCCCTTGGAATTTCTGACACAGATAAATTGAGTAGTGCCAGGTGTACCCTATGGGAAAGGGAGAGTATGTCTTTGAGATCAAACTTTCATAAAAAAGCAATTTCCTATTTGTTCAGAATGGATATTGAGATTACCAAACCCCAAATCTTGTCTCACTCTTAGTTCTTCTCTAGATCCATAATGTAAGGCGTGAAATCTTTCTTAGATCTTCCTACAACATATAGTATTTTTTCATATAGCTGTGATTTACTGTGTGATCTCTCAAACTCACTTGAATCTCTTAACTCAGTAGTATAAGCTCTTGAAGATCAAGGAGCAAGTATGTCTTATTCTTTGAATAAACCCCAATATGATATATGAATCTTGTTACAATGTTTCTTCCTTTCTATTAACAGAAAAATTTGTCTAAGCTACTTTGTGTATGTGTGTGTGTGTGTGTGTGTGTCTGTGTGTGTGTCTGTGTCTGTGTCTGTCTGTGTGAGCGTGCGCACATGTGTATTGGTGCTGAGACTTAAACTCAGGGCTTAGGTGGTGTCCCTGAGCTCTTTTGCTCAAGGCTAGTGCTGTTCCACTTGAGTCTCAGTTCTGCTTCAAGTAGTAATTACTGGAGATCAGAGTCTCATAGGCTTTCCTACCAGGGCTGACTTCAAACCTCAATCCTCAGATATTAGCCTCCTGAGCAGCTAGGATTAAAGGAGTGAGCCCCTGGTCCCTCACTGAAACTGTGAGCTTTCTGAGATCAAGGCCATACCACTCATTTTTATATTCTTAATGTTCAACAGAACACTGAGAATACACTTGATAACAAACAAACTGTTAATAAGTAAGTGAATGAAGCAAGAAACGAATAACTTTTTTAATCCATCCAATCATTTCTCCAAGTATAATTTATACTACCCTCTATACATGGCATGTAAGATCTAATTTTCCTTTAATAGCTAACCTTCATGTTCCATTACTCACTTATTTGACTCTTGATTCTTTGGGTTTTCTCTGTCTTATTCTGTTTCCCAATATATAGATTAAAAGCAATACAAAAATCAAAGCCTTGACCAAGCAAAATTAACCAGTCTGTCAGAAAACTAGTTTTAATAATAGACCTAGACCAAGGTCCAGAAATGAAAAGCAGTCATAAAAGATTTTAAGCGTGTTTCATTGAAGAATGAGTGGGAATGTTGATAGGTATCGCACTGAATTTGTAGATCGCCTTTGGCAGTATTGCCATTTTTACAATGTTAATCCTCCCAATCCAGGAGCATGGGAGGTTTTTCTACTTGCTTAGTTCTCCTTTAATTTCTCTTTTCAGGTTTTTAAAGTTTTCATCATAGAGGTCCTTTACTTCTTTTGTTAAGTTAAATCCTAAGTATTTTATTTTTTGTGGGCTATTACAAAAGGGGTTTCTTTCCTAATTTCAGCTGTGCTCTTCTCATTATTGGCAAACAGGAAAGACATTGATTTCTGAGGGTTAAGCCTACATGGCTGGGCACCAATGGTTAATGCCTGTAATCCTAGCTACTCAGAAGGCTGAGATATGAGGATCACAGTTTAAAGCCAGCCTGGGCAGGAAAGTCTCTGGGACTAGTATCTCCAATTAACCATCAGAAAACCAGATGTGGCACTGTGGCTCAAATGGTAGAGCACTAGCCTTGAGCTGAAGGACTCAGGGACAGTGCCCAGGCTCAGAGTTCAAGACTAAGACAAAAAAAAAGCCTAAATGATCAGCATCTATCTTCAATTTTAAAGGCATGGTCATTTCATCCTTTAAAGACCTAAGGTACAAAACATAGTTAAGAATAAGAAGTAGGAAGAGAAGGAGGAGGAGGAAGAGAAGGAGGGGGGGGGGAAGAGGAGGAGGAGGGGGAGGAGGGGGAGGAGGAAAAGAGGGAGAGGAAGAGAAGGAGGTACAAAACATAGTTAAGAATAAGAAGTAGGAAGAGGAAGAGGAGGAGGAAGAGAAGGAGGATAAAGAGGAGGAAGAGGAGGAAGTGGAGGAAGAGGAGGAGGAGGAGATGGAGGATGAGGAGGGAAGGAAGGAAAAAGAAAGAAAGGAAGGAAGGAAAGAAGAACGAAAGAAAAAAGAAAGAAAGAGAAAGAGGGAGGGAGGGAGGGAGGGAGGGAGGGAGGAAGGAAGGAAGGAAGGAAGGAAAGGAAAGGAAAGGAAAGGAAAGGAAAGGAAAGGAAAGGAAAGGAAAGGAAAAGAAAGGAAAAGAAAAGAAAGACCATTGTCAGATTGTCAGGCAAGGACTTTATTTCTCTTGTCCTAAACCTCATTGATGCCTAAAATATTCATAGTTCTTTCAGAGTACATCACGACTACTAGCCAGTTCTTCTGTCTTGTAAGTCCAAGGCATAAGGAAGTATTTGTTTAGGGTTTGTGTATGGGTTCTGTTTTATTTTAGGGTGACTTTGGACAGACTGGTTATTGTGTTTATAGACAGAAGTCAAGATTGAATTCAAAGCCTCTTTCTTTGTCTCATTCAGAATTTCCTTCCTAATAAAGGTTCATTGTTATCATTAACAGAGCAAACTTCAGTGAGTGTTAGCTACATCCCACCAGAAGAGGAGCTTCACCCCATGGTGGTTATTAGAAGACAGCCACCTTTAGTGCATATGAGGAGGAGAAGACACCCTGGAGCAGACAATCAGGGTCCACTACAGCCTTCTATTTTTATAATTTAATCTAATTTTTTTGTAAAGGTGATAGACATAGGGGTTACAGTTATGTAAGTAAAGTGATGAATCCATTTCTTTTCCAGCAGTGTTACCCCCCACTCCCTCCTCACAGGTAATCAGCCTTCTTGTATCAAGATAGAGGATCCAAGGCAAAGCTAAACCCAATGTAGAATACTAAAGGCCTGATGTATGAAATAAACCCTATGGAAGGAGCAGACACACAAGCCAGAACAAAAGGAATTGGAACAGAGAATTAATTAATTCACACAATTGAAATCTGAGGATGATATATACAAGCACAAGCAAATGGACATATCTCCAGATGAGTAGCGATGAGTTTGGTCAACGAGTCACCAGAAGACCAGGACTGTGTCACAGGGGTTGCTCTGAGATCAGGAAATTTTAGTACTTCATTATGCCAAGTTGAGACAGTTAATAACAAAACTAAACAAAATTCCCTCAAAGAAATCCTATACATGCAATAGAAATTAGTTGTTAGAAATTTGGGTCTGGATGACCTGTCATTTATAATGACTAAGACCTTAAAACTTTTTGGAGATATCTATATTGATATCACCAAGGGTTCCCCATTCTTCTTCTAGGCCAATACCCAATTAATATCCAAGACAAAGAAAGTAAGATTCCTTATTAAGGCTATCATGAAATTGAAATCAGTAGGATCGCCAATGTCTGTAGTTTCACTTCTAAGGATACCTCAGAGAGCAAAAAAAGGGTAGTAAGGCTGCAATGGAACTTATAACTTGATGAGAGTAGAGAATATACCAAGAAACTGCTACAAAAATAAGTTAGAAATAAGAATCGTAATGACAAAGTGATTTGCTAGTGACCAAAAAGCTATAGTATTAATTTAAGAAAGTTCTCTCAGAAGAGGTGGTATTTAACTGAGGTAGGAATGATAGTAAGGACCGAGCAATGCAGAGATCTGAGGGAAAACTACTACAGAGGGAAAGAACTGCTGTGAAATGAATCTGCTCTATGGGAAAAGAGAGAGGAGGCCATGACTCTGTCTTAGGGAAAAGGAAACAAAACAAAACAAGCCAAACAGAAAATAAAGCCGAAGCCAGATCATAAAGGATTTTTTTCTCCTGTTGAAATAACGTAAATGTGATTTCTTTAAACAACTTTTACTTCCCTGTGGTGAATGATGGTCAGGATTTAAAGTGGATACAAGGAGATGAGTTTGGGAAGGCAGACACAAACATGGTAATTAATTATGAAAGACCAAGTAAGGGATCAGACTTGGATAAAGGTTATAGTAGTGGAGTAAGAAATAAATGAAGTAATTTATATATACTTTCAGAAAAGAAATAAATAAGCTTTAGCGATGAAATGCATATAGTGTGCATTGGCAAAAGAAAAGTAAGGAAAATATATGGGAGAGCAGTTAAGCAGCTGAGAGGGAAATGGAAAACTGCAAGAAAAGCAGGTTTTGCTTTATCTGTTTCTGCCTGGGTTCATGGCAGGATTTCTGCACTGTCCATTTTGATGTTGTCAAGAAGACTTTGGGATTGATGGATGAAGATTTCTGATCACAATTGAGGATTTTGGATTTAAGTCTCTTACAAAGTAGGACCATCTTAAACATAAATCTTAGTTGAAAAGAAATGAAAAAAAGCTGTATACTTGATGAAAAGAGAAGACTAATGAAATGATAAATTCCACTGAGAAAGAACTGGAAGCTGTCAATTATTGTTTTCTAAGATGGTATGATCGTGACAACTAATCAAGCCATTACAAATCTAGTACGTACTCATAGATTACATGCATAAGAAAGGAAATTACCATTCCACCAGAGCCTAAATACTATGTTCTATTTCAATCATTTGAAAAAATATTACACTGATAATCAGTGTGATTTAAGGTAAAACAACAAATTGGTCTAGAAATGGGTTATATGAATTATAGACAGCTTTTTTGGAAAAAGAAGATGAAGAGCTGAATCACATTATCTTGTAACTGTTTTT